CACAGCCTGCCAACACCTTGATCCAAGACATCTAGCCTCCAGAACTGTGAGAGAATGCATCTCTGTTGTTTAAGCCATCCAGTTTGTCAGGCTTTGTTATGGCAACCCTAGGAAACTAATATAAAACTTCATCATAGTCAATAATCACTCATTAAGCACCTGCTATTTGCAAGGCAGGGAGCTGGATTCTGGGAAGAGAGAATAAAAAGACACAGTCTCATTTCTACATGTGCGTGTATATGCTTAAGTATATGCTACATATAAACTTTGCAGAAATATATATCTATACCTACTTGAGTTCTTAGCAGCAGATGGCTAGGTGCCAAGCAAGAGAGGCAGCCTAGGTAACTTATAGTTTAAGGGAAGGGTGATCACCGCAACATGTGGTGGTGAGGGAAGTGGGCCTTTAGTTGAGCCTTGAAGGACAGGAAAAACTTGAATAAACTGAGAAACGGCAGGGAAAGAAATCCAAGCATGAGAGAAAGGACAGGAAGGGAGAGGTGAGGAGGAGGGGGAAGGGGGAAGGAGAGGGAGATATCAAGTTGGTTTTAGATGGGCTGAATTTGGAGTAAATGAGGTCACCCAAGAGGATCTGGCCAGCAGGGTCTCAGTCCTGCAGCTTAACCAGTGATATCACAATGGAACAAATTCACAGCACCAACACTTTGTTGCTTATTCTTTATAATATAATACAGCTACTTTACTGTATTATATTATTAAAATTATCATCTTCTACCCTTTGTCCTCATTTGCCATTTCGTCTGAGAGAGGGCCAAGGCCCAGGACTGAATCTCTCAGGTGAGTTGTTGAAGAAGGTTCTAGTAAAAACAAATTATCTTAGAGAAGGAAGGTTCAGGTTCTAAGAGGGTGTGGCCTGCAGAAACCAGTCTCAAGAGAGTTGATGTCTCCAAAAGAGAAGGACTCAAAGGAACAGGTAGGCAGTCAGGGAATCTTCCTAGGAGTAGAAAGCCTCTCAAATATATCCCATGAATCTGCAACTCCATAAAAAGATACCACCTCTGTTGTAATTGCCTCCAGTCACCTGCAAGCACAGCTCTGTGGAACTGGGTAAAATGCACCACCTGTGACACACCTCCATTATAATTCCTCTCTCCATGATTTGAGAACAGTGAACAGATGAATAGCCCAACTGACAAAGGCCTCTATCCATGGCCAGCTGCCTCATGGCATCCCTGCTCTTCAAAATACACTAAGCATCTTCCATGACAGGGTCCAAGAATAAGGTCTAGTCTGCCCTGCAGCTCTAACAGAGCCCTGGAAATCTTCCAAAAAGTGTCACTTCATCAGAAGTCAATCAGGCCATTTTCCAACTCCTGTATCTAAGCCAGCTCCAATGTCCTGGCCTTTGCACACTGCAGACCCTCCTTCAAGGGATCCAAAGTCATCTGACCAGGAGGGGTCATCCAGTGTTTTTGGCACTTTGCAATTCTGTGAGTCCCGGGGTGGGGAAGCCATGTTGAAACCACATCAGAGGAAGTGGCCCCTCCAGAGTCTCCTTGCTGGTGCTTGGCCTCTGGCTCCCCAATGACTCACGCCAGTGACATGGCCAGGACATGGTGACGAAATCATCCAGAGCAGCCTCCCAGCTACCAACAGAACTTTCAAGGGCTGACACCACCCAAGGACTTCAGTCCTGGGGAAACAGCCACCCCACCCTCCTCCTCTCTACCCTAGTTTTTCTGTAGTGAGTCATCAGTGTGTCGTAGACAGGCACACTTAGACTGCACACCTGGTCCACCTAATATAAGAAGCATCATGGTGCATACTCGACCTCACTGGTTTCTGTCTTATGTTCCCCAGAGCCTGAGAGTTCCCAGGTATCCACAGAAGAGTACATGGGAGTCGAGGAGTGTGGGGAGACTGGGAGGACCGGGGCCTCCACGAGTAACACTTTTGCCTGGTTGACATACGTGGGTCCAGAATAATATTTTAATCCATTACAAAAGAGAGAGAGAGGATCTTATTGCTTTAATCAATTTGAAAGGCTCTGTTCATGACAAATAGGCAAACTGGCACACAACTTGGTCATCAACTCCACTTGACATAGCTAAACACACAAGCCTCCTCTCTTGGGAATGCTTGATTCTACTTCAGCACAACAGGTCCTCCAAGGCCTTCGAGCACCTACCACCCCAGTTTCACACTCATAAGCTCTTTACAAACATCTCCCCAGGCACACAGCTTGGGTCTGACTCCAACAGATCGAATTCCCCAATTCCCCTACCATGTGTACAGGTGGGTACAGCCATCAGGCCCTTGTCCTGTCCCTCACTCTAGCTTGGGCCACTTCTTCAGAAAGTGTCCTAAGCTGCCATGTGCCCCTGCACACAGCCCAGGTCCTCTTCTCTGACTAAACCATCAGCTCTAAAAGGTTTGGGCAAGGAAGGGAGTAGTGACAGAGAAAGGGACATGCTCCAGCAACAGAGGGTCCCACTCAACCCTGTTCATCACCAAGACTCCAGCAGCTGAAGGCTGACCATTTCCACTGTTTAGTTATGAGCTTTAGCCCCAAACTTTTTCTTTGAAGAATGTTCAAAGCTACAGAGAAGCTGAAAGAACAGTTTGACTATATAACAATAGTACCAGTATCACAAGTAAGAAAATTAACACTTATTCAATAATATCTAACATATAGCTCATATTCAGAATTGCATAATTACCCCAGTATGTCTTTTTTTTTTTTTTTGGAAAGCAGGATTTATTGAGAGAACAGAAAAGCTCCCACAGTGGGAGGGGACCTGAAGGGGTTGCCTCCCAGTATGTCTTTTATTAATATTTTTTACCAAGATCTAATCAAGGTTTACTCATTACATTTAATGTTTAGTCTCTTATCTATAACAGGTTCTCATGTTTTATTTTCTATTGCTTTAATAACACTGAATTTATTGAGTGGTTCAGGCCAATTGTTCTGTAATATGTCCCACTCTTTGGGTCTTTCTGTTTCCTTATTATTAGATTCAGTTAAACCAGTTTGGCATAAATATTATGTAGGTGGTAGTGTGAACTTTTTAGTTGTATCACCTCAGAAGCCACGTCACATCAGGCTGTCCCACTATTGGTGATGCTAGATTGGAACACTTGGTTAAAAGGTTGGCTGCCAATCCGTTCCACTTGAAGGCATACTTTCCCTTTAGAATCAGTAATTAATCTGCTGACCAGATACTTTGAGACCACATGAATACTCTATTCCACAAAATTCTTTCACCAACTAGTTTTCGCATCTATTGATGAGTCGACCCGGGGGTTACAAAGTACAGATTTTCCTGAACTTATTAGCTAGTGTCCATAAAGAAGAGCCTTCCCTTCTTACCCCCACCTCTGCCTCCTTTCCTTCTCCAACTATCACTATATACTTTTGGATTTCTTTAAAATTATTCAATGAACCATAACCCATTACTGCCATTATTATTTTAGATATTCAAGCTGTTTCAATTTGGGCCAGCGAAAGTCCTTTCAAACTAGTTCCTGGATCCTCTGCTAGGACTCCATTTGTCTGAGTGTTACCTTGCTTTCTGGCCCCAGGGGTCCCAGACCCACTTCATCCTTTCCCTGCTCCACCCTGGACAGAGCCATTTTTCTGGATCTTTTTAGTGGAACTCATCCTGTCCTTTTAGGTAGATCAGCAACTTTGTATTCTCTCACCTTTCTCTAGTCACGATTTCATTTTCCTTTCTCCCATTTCCTTGCCCTGTCACTCATTATTTGCATTAGCACAGGCAGCTCTTTGTCCTTGGTAGAAAGTAGGGAGAAGGGAAAGAGAGATAGAGACCTACAGTAAACTTTAAAACATTATGAACCAGTTAGCAATCAATGAGAAGCTTCCACATTACTGGCTAATTCCAAAGCAAGACTTGTATTTCAAGAGGTCTTATGGACTATCTTATGAGTCCATTCGTGAAATGTATACAATGTCATATCATTTTGTTTTATTGTATAGTCAAATAAATTACATGCACAAGAAAAGTAGTACATACTCCCTGGTGCTCCTATCTCCTACTCTCATTTTGTCTCCGTCAGTGTTTACCACCTCCTAACCTCTATAAAATGTACTTAATTGTCATGTTTCTTTTCATTCACATCCCACTATAATATAAATTCCATAAATGACAGATTTTTTAGTGTGTTTGTTTGTGTTTGTTCACTACTATACTCCTACTTCCTAGAACAGAATCTGGAATACAGTGGGTGTACCATAATTGCTTGTGAATGAGTAAAATGGCTGTCAGGACCCCAAGCCTAGAGATCAGCAAAACCTCCTCTTTGTCCATTGAGCCTCCGCCTCAATGTCACCATCCATGCAGTTATTCCCTTCTCTGTGTTCCCAGAGTCCTTCTTAAGTCGCTGATCCTAACATATGAAATATCACATCATCACTGTTTATTTATATGTCTGTCTCACCTGGAAAACTGTGATCTCCTTCACAGCAAGAACATACTCATCTTCATGGCCTTAGCACTTAGCACATGGGCTGGCACAAAAACGTTTGCTGAACACCTCTACTCCCAGCCAAGAATTGCCCTTTCCCCACACCACAGCCACCTGCTGGCCTTCCTCTCCCTTGCCTGAGCTGGGCCCCTGGCTGCTGCTCCAAGCTGCTGAGAAAGGTTCAGGCCCTGTCAGCAGCTCACAATGGGCCCTTTGACTCAACTGGACTGGGCTGTTGTTTCAGGAAAACCTGTGTTCCCTGCCACAGCACCTGTCACTAAGGCCAGTGTGTCCCTGAAGCTTAGAGGTAACACAGAGCCACACTGTTCACCAAGAAATAAGAGCAGGGCTCATCACTGGCTGAGCAAGCTGGAGAGAGCAGTCTATCTTCTGAGAAGACAGCAGGCGAAGTGCAAGGTCAAGAGGGCCTCCTCCTCAGAAGAGTTGTTGACATTCAACCTCTGGAAAGAGCGAGTGGGATAAGAGTACAAAGACTGGAACTTGCCGGAGCTTTGCCTCGGAAACGCTGGAGCTTTGCCTCAGATGTGCCTTACCTGCTCTTTTCTCTCAATCTTCTTTTCACTTTTCTCAGGAACTGGATTATCAGGAGGTACAGTCAGCCGTAGTCTGCAGACATTTGCCTGGAGGAGAAGGAGAGGAGAGGCCACTTAGGAACCAGTGTTGGGGCAGAAAGAGCCAGGTGACCTTGGGCTTCTCATAGCCTGTTTCCCCCTCTTCCAGCAGGGGTCATCGTGCCAATCACACAGGGGACTTGTGAAGATAAGGCCAGCCGTTGGCCCAGCACAGGCACTCACCACCCTGCTGCTCAAAATAAGAAAACTACAAAATAACTTCATAGATTTCAAACATTTTTTTAAACAATGACTCAGGTTTCATAGCAATACATATAGAATGATCTTGTTTTACAAGTATAGGCCAAAATACAGCTAGAGGGACAGAAGCCAAAATATACCCAGTGGTTATTTCTAAATAAGATTAGAAGTCATTGGGGGTGGGAAGGTGCTTTTATATACCTAATTTTTCTATAATAGACATGAACATGTTTAATCACAATTTTTTAAGTCTATACACCCATGTTCATAGTAGCATTATTCATAGCAGCCAAAAGGTAGAAGCAACCCAAATGACCACCAACAAGTGAATAGATAAACAAAATATGATTTACAATATTATATGGAATAGAATACTATATAACCTTAAAAAAGGAAGGAAATTCTGACACATTCTACAACACAGATAAACCTTGAGGACATTATGCTGAGTGAAATAAGCCTGTCACAGAAAGGCAAAGATTGTAGGAGTCCACTTAGATGAGGTGTGTAGAATGATCAAATCATACAGACAGGAAGAACTGTGATTGCCAAGGGCTAAGGAGGTGGAGGAACTGAAGTTAATTTTTAATGGATACAGAATTTCCATTTCAGAAGATGAAAAAGTTCTGGAGAGGGATGGTAGCGCTCATTGTATAACAATGTACATGCACTTAACATTAATGAACTATACAATTAAAAACAGTTAAAATGATACATTTTATGTTATGTGTTTGTTGTTTTTCTTTTGGTTTGTTTTTGGTTTTGAGTCGCAGTCTCACTCTGTTGCCCAGGTTGGAATGTAGTGGCACATTCACGGCTACAACAGCCTCAACCTGCTGGACTCAGGCAATCCTTCTGCCCAGCCTTCCAAGTAGCTGGAACTATGGGTGCGCACTACCACACCCGGCTTATTTTTTGGTTTATTGTAGAGACGAGGTCTCACCAAGTTTCCCAGGCTGGTCTCGAACCCATGAGCTCAGGCAATCCTCTCACCTTGGCCTCCCAAAGTACTGGGGTTACAGCATTGAGCCACTGTGCCCAGCCTTTATGTGTATTCTATCAAAATTTGAAAAAAAGCAATACCAAAGCTGCCTGTGTCTGTTGAATACAGACTAAAGTAAGACAGCTAGAAAAGTAGAAGAGTCTAAAAGTAATGATTATGAGTTGATAAGACATTTGACTCCCCAATTAGCCATAACACCATGAACATTTGTCACTAATCACTGAGATTCTCATGTCCATTTATTAAAGGTTACCAACAAAGTTCACTGAAACACTGGAATAAAGGCTACTAAATGATTTTTAAAAGTCTAAATTGCACCATTTCTCTTAAAAAAAAATAAAAGCATTACATCATTCAGTGAGAGAAGCTACAATGTATGTGATTTATCAATATTCTACTGCCAAAGTCATTTTCCTGCCCAATAAAGCCGAAAATACACTACTATAATCTGTAGTATGAGAGAGACAATAACAACAATAATATCTAAGCATGTATTTAGTACTTACCATATGTATGCCAGGCACCTTCTAAGTGCTTTACATATATTTATTTATTTATTCTCACCACAACCTTAGGGTAATAGGTACTCTTAGCAGACCCATTTTGCAGATGAGGAAGCTAAGTCTCTGAAGAATCCCATGCAAATGGCAGAGCTGAGATTTGAACCCAGTCAATCTCCAGGGCCTTTTGCCTGGAGTTGAAACCAGTCTAGCATTTGTACAAACATCAAAGTATAACTCACACCAGGCAGGCAATTCAAATCTGTAATGCTCAGCAAACTTCCCTCTTAGACTGATGCTAATCCATGGCATAATTCTGCAGGGAAAAGGAATTGTTTTTCTCCTGTACCACATTCCATACACACACGTGTGTGTGAACACACATGTACATCTATGCACAAGCACATAGGTTCCAACATCTACTAGCACCTACTAGCTGTGTAAATAAGGGCAAGTTACTTAATCTCTCTGAATCTCAAGTAAAATGAGATAAAAGGAAGGTGTCTGGCCCACAGTAAGCCTCTATGAATGTTAGATGTTATTATCGAGACATTATCATCATCCTATCATTCTATATGCTCCAAAATGAAACAGACCTACCTGGCTTCACATCCCTATTTCCATGAAAATAACAATTTGGTCAATAGAACTGAGCTATCAACATGGTAAATGATGCTTTTTTACTGATTGATTGCTCTACAATGGTAACCCTTGATGGCCAGTCTTCAGAAAAAGGACCCCATGGGTCCAATCACCCAAAAGTGAGATGGCCCTTCCCCGTGCTTAAGCCTCATCTGTCCACCAGAATTTAACTATTCCTCAGCATGCTTCCTAGTCAGCTGGGAACACCTTCTGCATCAGACTCTCACACTGAGCCATTTATACCCTGGGGTACGCAAAGCCAAAGGGTAAACAGAATGCATAAATAAAATGAACTTGTAAAGTAAAACATTGATTTCAAAGATATTTGGCAGCTCCAGCAGGTGCTTGCAGCTACACTCCAGGATCCTATCTTAAGTTTACTTTTGTCAATTGGGGTGCTATGATCCAAACATTAAGGAGCACAACTAGTTCTTCTTTAATAAATGCTGACTCATCACTGGACTGGCTATACAGGAGCAGTTTAAGCCCAGCCTGAACCAGAATCACACATCTTCCTTACAAGATGGTCAGATGTATAGTCATGGGAAAAAGAGAAAGCTGCAGAACAGAATGTTAAGAGTTATCCTATTTTTATTTTTTAAATACATCTTGATAACTTGTGTGGATTTAGAAGGGAAAATATCCTTACGGAAACACAACCAACTCTTGATGATGTTTACCTCTAGAAAATGAAACCTCTGTGTTGTTTGCACCTATTTCAGGTATGCATAAATTTTATAATTAAAATAATAACAGTAGTAATAGCAATAATAAAAATTGAGAGAGAATATGTCAGAAAGACACAGAGTGAGAATCTAATCTTTCTCAAATCCACAGGACTGCCCAAGAAGCAGCAAAGAGAGCATCCTGAAAGTCTAGAAGGCACTCTGAATTCCTAACAGTAGCACTAAGGAAAGTAATTCCTGAACCAGTTCACCCACCAGCTTGACCTAGCACAGTCTTCCTCCCTCCATTCATTCACCTTTAGCAATCTCCCCATGGGAAAGTCTCCCACTGAGTAAGATCAAGGCAGCCTTGCTTATCTCTGAGCATTTTATGATCCCGATCTCCATGGTTTCTTCAAACTCAGATACACAATTCCCCAAGCTGGGCAGTACCTGAGAAGCAGGTAGTGCACTTTATTCCCAAGGGTTCCCACAGCAGCTGGTTCAGGATTTATGTTGTGAACAATGTAGAGAATTGCATCCTACTTACCCTGAACACCACAGCTATTAGACCCTGGAGGCAAGGATCCCTTCCAATGGATCAGCAGGAAGCTGGACTCAACATATTTCATTACTCAGTTACTGAACTCCCACTACTTGTAAAAAAAAATACTTTTTAAGGGCTGTGAGATTACTATGATGACAAAGAAGCAGCCGTGCTCGCAGGAGTTCATAATCTAGAATTACACCCAAACAAGGCAATCAAGAACACTTAGTGTAACCAATACAAGGTACTGAGAGGTAGGGTAGCTTGTTGGTTAAAGCACAGTGGAACTGCATTTCCTTGGTCTGGCACCTACAAGATATGAAACCTCTGGAAAGCTACTTAGTCTTCAGTGTTTCAGTTACCTTAGTTGGAAAACAGAGCTAACAATACTGTACCCTCTTAGAATTATTATGAGGATTAAATTAACTAAAATATGTAAAGAGATTAGAACAGTTTCTGGTACATATTAAGCATTCTTTATGATCATGTGAATATAGGAAGGAGAACATTAATCTTAATGGGAAGAGAAAGTATACAGGAAGGCTCCTAGAGATGACATTTGAGTGGGGTATAGAAAGACAGAAAGGGCTTTTCAGGTCAATAAGGTCTGGAGAATCCATTACATAACAACAGATAGCCATCAGGCCAGGTAGTCCAACACACAGATGGTGGTATGTTCAGAGACTAAGTGGGCCTGCAGCCTAAGCTAGGGTAATGGACAAATAGGCAGGGGCCAAACAATCTACAAATGCCTGATGGAGACACGCACTCTCTGGTCAGAAGACAATGAGAAACCATTCAAACCTTTGGTGGGAGAGACTACAATTCAAATCTGAGTTCATTTCAGTAAATCAACTGGTAGTTACCAAGAACCTCTTATGTTCCACACAACACAAAGTGGGTGGAAGGAAAAACACAGGAGGAAAGATCAAGTAAGCTTTGTACTGTATTAGCATTTATAGCTCTTACAGTGCCTAGCATAAACACAGAAAGGACACTTGCTCAGTGGTTTTTTTCTCTTTTCTTTTTCTTTTTTTTTTTGGAGTTAGAATCTCACTCTGTCTCATAGGCTGGAGTGCAGTGGCATGTCCACGGCCACCACAGTCTTGACCTGCTGGGCTCAGGTGATCCTTCAGCCTCAGCCTTCCAAGTAGCTAGAACTACAGGCACATACCACCACACTCAGCTAATTTTTTATTTATTGTAGAGATGATGTCTCGCCAAGTTGCCTGGGCTGGTCTCCAACCCCTGGGCTCAGACAATCCTCTCACCTTGGCCTCCCAAATTGCTGGGATTTTATGTGTGAGCCACTGTGCCTGGCCTTCTTATTTTAACCGAACTAAAACAAAGTAAAAATATACCTGAAACTCCCTAGAGAGACTTGCATTTTTTCAAACCAACCCCAATGGGAGAGATGGCAAGGGAGAGGCAGGTAGCACTCAAACTTCCTC